CTGATTTTCCATAAAAGTTATACGTTATAAAACTTAATATTTTTATGGAATTTTTATATCAAATTTTTTATTGGGCTCCTTGATCAATACCAATTTTTACGTCATAGTAATCTAAAGTTCTATATGCTATAAAGACAGCATTTTTTCTTGCAGTGAAGAGATTAATTAAAAGATCAATAGCTAATTGTGGAACTTTGATGCGGTTAAGGGCTAAACGAAGAAACTTTAAGTCTACTCTGTCATAGACTTTAAAGAGATCTTGAAGTAAAATCCAAATTTCTTTTTTGTTTTCGATTGCATCTTCAAGTAACATATTGACTATTTTGATAGGTGCTTCAGTTGATCCACCAGGTAGACCAGCAAAATTTTCATTTTGTAGTATGTTGTATTTGGCAAGTATTGTGAGGAGTTTGTTGGTAATAATTTTGATAAAGCCTTTTTGACAAGTTTCTAACAATGTGATAGGTCTGGTTTTTGTTATGTCACATTCCTAATCCATTGGCTTTGGGATAGGATAGATGTGGGCGATTTTCCATTTATTTAGAATATCACCTAGGGTGAAACACATACAGATAAGTTTCTAGAGTAGTTGTTGAAGTTTATCGCTTAGGTGTGAAAGCATTTCGTTAGAAATTCCTGAAGGGTTAGCAGCTTTGTTATTAGAGAGTGTTATATATACTTTTTTTTTTAACGATATGGCACTGCCAGTAACTTTATTAAATTTATACAAAATAATAAAAATAGACACATTCAGATTATTTGGTTATAGTTATATTTAGATTATTTAATCGCATGATAACAAACAATAAATAGAAAAAGGGTAAAGAAAAGTGATTTCAAAGGTAAGGAATATAGTAGGAAAAATAAGGTATAAAAAATCAGCATATTTAAATTATTTAATTAGATTATTTAATCATATCTAAGTTATTAAATTTTAGATTTTTGGTTATATCTAGATTATTTAGTTATATTTAAATTATTTAGGCAATCTAGATTATTTAGTTATACCTAGGTTATTTTATTATTTAGTTCAAGGGGACAATTTTTGTCATATAATTTAAAAGGTTTGATTTGTACGATTAGTAATTAGTACACTGTGCAATAAAATAAACACTATTATATATACGAAACTGACATGTGAACATTTATATCTTTTTGATGCACACCCATAAAAAATTCTTGATATTATGTATGTATGACTTTTGTTTCGAATGTTTTATTGGTATAGGAAATAAAATATATGATTCGACTTGTAGTTGTAATACATAGATTTGCTACACAATGATTCTATGCGGATGTTTTTCACTTATCTAAACTATCTATACTAGAGACCTGCATAAGTCCAAATTTTGAAGCCCAGCCCAGCCCAGACTTTAAGCCAAGAATTAAAATGCCAGCCCGACTTAATTATATTTGCGATGCTAAATTTAAAAATTAAATAATTTTTATTTTATTTAATAAATTACAAAAATAAAACATGTATTTTTTTTAATAAAATTATAACACCAGAATAATTAATTCAGCAATTTCAAATTATTACTTTTAATACTATTCGGATATAGGGAAACATGAATCAAGATTTTTTCTTTCGATATCTTTTTTTTGATAAATTAAAAAAAGTAAAATTCCTTTGGTCAATAGTGAATTTTGTTCAAATAATATCATCGTAACTGGTTATCGTGTGACGGCGTAAATCTTTGCGCTATTTTGCAACATTTGATTGAATTACAAAATGATTTCTTACAAGTATTAATTATTCCTAAAAGCACTTAAATTTTTGGAATGACCTTATTTTGATCGGGAAAACACTATTACATCATCATTATCATCAGTAGAGTATAACGCTAATTACACTCGTTACATTTAATCCCTTAGTATTGATCAAGCTAAACAAGAAAATTTTAAAAATTACAAATGGGATGAGATTCTCCAAAATAGCTATCGTAATCTTTTCCTCTGATCATGTTTGAGATAACGACCAATGCTTTATACAGTGAAAATCATAATAATTATGATATCGCTTCTAAATTTACGAGATGTTTCGGATTTGAGAAAATGGGAATACTATCTAACGCAACTACCAAATTATAACTAACTATTTTGCCATGATCAAAATATTGTTTCGTTAAACTATTTTTTTATTTCTGATTTTCAATTTTCAATTTTTTATTTTAGTGCAGTAACAAATTTTTATTATTTTTATTAGAATGAATAAAAATACAAAAAATGCGGCTAAATTTTAATTAAATAATGATTTTTGCCAAAATTATAAAAAAAATCCGGGCTGGTACCTTGAACCCGGACCCAGCCCAGAAATTTCTACACTAATTATTTGCCGGCCATGATCCGGCCCGGCCCGTTGCAGGCCTCTAATCTATACTAATACCATCGATATTTTGGATAGAAAAAATTTGGTCGTAGACGTCAGTTTTAATTATACAAAATATTAATATCATTGTTAATAACTTAACTTAATAAAAACATAGCCAAAATTTATTATTGCTAATAAATTTCTCAAAAATCCTGAATGGAAATTTCATTTCAATGCATTATCAAAAAATATTCATACTTTTTAAAATTGAATAATGTTTGTCAGCATTCCTTTTTATTTGAGTTCAAGAAATATAAGCTTCAAAGTGTCTTATATGTGTCGCATGACTCGTTATACAATGTTGGCAATGCTCTTGACTATGACTTTCTTTAGGTTTGTCAAACTCTGTTTTAACCTCTAATGGTTTTAACTCTAAATACTATACACCTGATATGTAAAAACTACGTCACAGCTTTTCTTATAAAGTATAATATTTGTATTAAGCCAGTAGCGTGCGACAATCGATTTTGTATATCTTTCTGCAAAAATGAACCAAATGTCTGTCGCAACTAGCTCAGCTACAGGAAATGAAAAAGTATTTTCTATTTTTCAAGAGATTGCTCGACTCAGCTCGAATCTTAATGAAGAGAGTTTTTCAACAACAGAGAGGGTTAAATTACGAGAATTTTTCATCAAAAACTCGAATAATATAAAATTTGTATCAAAGTCTCTCGACACAATTCCAGCTGATAATTATAATGAGAGACTCGCGCTACTGAGAGTATTGTCGTCTGGTATGCTTATTCTTTCCTGCTTCTTATCATCAAACCCGCCCAAAAAAACACATTCGCGTTATCGTAGAGCAACCCGTTGCTGATAAATGAGTCTTGATAACAAAATGTCAACGCGTTTTAGCTTAACATTTCTTTCTTTATTCCGATAGACACTTCCATAGAGGGCATTACGCATGATTTTGAG